GTGTAGAAATGACGAAAACTGAGATATGGTTGGAATTGTTGATTATCCGAACATAACGGAACACTACAATGACACGGAGATGAAGAAAACTGGAACATTTTCTCATTTTTCTAACATTTTTTGAGCCTAACTTCCGAGAACAGAACCCACCTGAACTTCATCGCATGTTTCCAAACGTCTTCCTGGTTTTTGATGTATGCGTGAATAGAGCCTATCAACTCACAAGTCTAAACAAATCCAACCTGGTGCAAACATGGCATTCTGGGTAATGTAGTAATGTAGTATTTTAGTGTACCAGTATTAATATCTTGAGCCTACTCCTGTCTAAAGGCGCTCTAATAACACAGTACTTACAGTTGACCGCTGGCTCTTCCTTGTGACCTTTGACCCTGTCCCCTAAGCCATCACAGACACCCTTAGGAGCCTGCACCTTACGACGAGAGAGTCTTTAACGCGAATAATCCCAAAACAGAAGAACGCTGCGAGTGCATTAATGTTTCATACCTCTTCATTTCCACTGGAGCACCGCGCTTCCGCCAATCAATAGATCAACCTGCTGTCACCCGGTTAGCACCTGAGGGCGGGGGGGCAAGGGGGGTGGAGAGGGTGCACCCACGGGACCCCCTCCGGGCCGGATCATAGGAACACCAACCCCTGCACCCTTCCCTCAGCGCTGGGGGTCTCCGAGGATTAAAGCTACAGCCCGGAGCCAGGAGCAGACCACCTGTAATGAACACGACAGCAACCGCGAGGGGAGGGGGGCTACGCTAATGAGCACGCGAGAGGCTATGCTAATCAGGGCTCGCGTCTGATTGGACACAAGAGGAAGGGAAACCAGGAAATAGAATTGTGTAGAAAAGTGTATTTGAACTCAGCATGGAACTGGAAAAAACAACAGTGTCATTTGGGAACGGAATAATCTCAGTGTATTTATTTATCTGTTTAAAGGTGGACTCTGTAACTGCTAAGGTGGAGGGTCCGCTACCTGCTTGTCTCCATGGAGATGTTATGCCTTTGCCTGGAATGTTCCACAGTATGGCAGTAAACATATCTCCTTTGCATTTGTTCAATTACAGGTGTTTTTAGATCTCAAAAATGTGTTAGAATATATTCATTTTTACCATGTTCAGGCTCGCTCCTCCATAGATCTGACTAGTGTTGTAGTCAAGACAGCAATAATTGAGACCAAGACCTGTCCGAGACCACAGGGTCCCGAGACCAGCACAAGACCAAGACCTCTGAGGGTCGAGACCGAGACAAGACCAAGACTAAGACAAGATCAAGACTTTGAAAGGTCGAGACCAAGACAAGACTGAGACAAGACTGAGACTTTTAAAAGAAGAGACTGAGACAAGATCGAGACTTTTAAAAGAACTGAGACAAGACTGAGACTTTTAAAAGAAGACTGAGACAAGACTTTTAAAAAAAAGACTGAGACTTTTAAAAGCCGAGACTGAGACAAGATCGAGACTTTTAAAAGCCGAGACTGAGACAAGATCGAGACTTTTAAAAGCCGAGACTGAGACAAGATCGAGACTTTGAAAGGCAGAGATCAAAACCAGACCTAGACTTTTAAAGGTCAAAACTGAGACCACGGCCCATCTTTGTCATTTTCAACATTTATTTGTATTTTACAGTTATTTTGGCACATATATATCAATGTTTTTATAAATCTATCTCCATTTTATCACTCGTAAAGTGTTGCACTGAGACAAGACCAAGTCCAAGCACCTTCAAGACGGAGACAAAACTGAGTCCAAATGCAGTCGAGTCCAAGATGAGACCAAGACGACAAAAAAAACAAAACGGTATTGAGGCTGTTCTCATTAAAAATCTACAATATGATTTACTTATGGGCATAGGCACACAGCAATAACACTTGCACAAACACACAAAATGGGTAACTAAACTCAGATTTAAACCTGGACTGGACCAAACTAGGACCAGGAAGGTCCAAACCAAGTCTACACCAGGGACTAAACTGGAACCAAACCTGGAGTGAATCTACAGTGTTTACACAGCTCCAATGAACTTACTGTATGTACACAGAAGATTTACAAATATTTTATGCAGTATTCACACATATTGTAAGTTGTGTGGTGGTATTACTTTGAGAAAGAAAAGTAAAGTTCTAATTTTAAAAGATAAAATTCCACATGACACATTCTGGATTCAACTTAATCAACTTAAAATGTCTAAAACCATGACAACAGCCCAAACGTGAACATGTCTTCACTCTCACAGCACAGTTAGTCTGTTAGCTGGTGAACTCTTCATATCAAAGCACATGACCAAACAGTGCCCCTCCCCCCCTCAGACACCTGTTCTCCGGCTGTCCCTGCCCTCCTGTCCCAGTGGGGCTCCTGCTGCGGGCAGTTTGGAGTGTGGTGGAGCGCGGCATCATGGGAAACGCAGTCTCTTCAAAGGTAATGCGATGCTGCTGTGAGGGTCTGCTGTCTCACATGTCCACACACGGGGGCTTTGATCTGCGCCTGTCACTCCCCCCTTCACCTGACAGGACCCCCACCCCCCCTGCCTCTAAGGCTGATCACTGCCTTGGGCTCTGGACGGGTGTAATACAGACTTTTGAACACCAGGGGGTTTGGAGAGCTTTAAATTCCCAAGAAATTTACTTTTTATGTTCTAACTTCCAACACAGAACTGTCACAATAATTATTATATCAACAAACACTGGTGTATTGGTTGGCCAGTATATCGGGCCAATACTTGGGCTAGTCCAACGAGGTTCATTTGGTCTTTTGATAATCACATGACCACTCTGAGGAAGAACACTCGTGAGCAGTCGAAATTGTCAGGTATGAAAACACACTCTATTTTTGAAAAAAGAACCTAAAAACATATAATATTTGGACTTTTAGCATCAGTTATCGGCCTCAAAGCTCCAGCACAGGCCGAGATAAGACTTTAGTGCAAAGAGATAACTGCTGAAAGCGTGACTAATCAGCTCTCTTACAGGTTTGTGGTGGAAAAAGAAAAGGGCTGTGGGTTTTTGGTAATTTAAATTGCAGAATGTGGGGGAGAAAATCAAAATTCACCCTGTATATCAGCTCAAAAATATCAGCAAAGTTCATTGGTCATCGATTTCTCTGGATTCTAAACAATCAGAATCAGCATCAGCCATGAAAAAATGCATCTCGTCAAGATTCACTTCTTTAATCGATGTATTGATTTACTTCCTATTAGGGATGTAACAATAACCAAAATATTGTGATATCGTATCGTCAAAAGTCTCACAAAAATATCTGGGCTCTCACAATATATCAAATTACAAGTTCCTTTACTTAAAACTGCAGGTTTTATAGTAGCAACAGCTAATAAACATAGGAAACTACATATCCCCTTGATTCATTTCAGTGCAGACAACATGAAGAAATATGTTTTTTTACTAGAATTCTTGAGATTATGACGGAAATAATTCACACCAGAATCTTATCAAGGTATTTTAAAAGCAAAAAAGTGTTCTATCTACAATAATATTAGCTTCTCCAAAATATAAATATTGTACCGTGAGATGTATATTGAGAAAATATTGTACGGAGAGATTTGGATATTGTTATACTTCCTACACGATCTGCTATCCTGGAGCTCAGTAGGAGCATCTGTGCACTGTGAGACCTACACTCTGAGAACATGAAGCTTCACTCTTATAATAAGCACAGTCATCTCAGGCTGATGTTAGTGCAGCTTCACAGAGAGAGAGAGAGAGAGAGAGAGAGAGCGCTGACTCACTGTGGGCCTGTGGAAGGACTGGCTCATCCTTCATCTCATCCAGGATCATTTAACAAAACTGAAGCCTCCAGATTCTACCAACAACTCCTGTCACAAGCAAACACCCTACTGCAATAAATGTGCACTGTGTAGCTTTTCTGGAGGAAGCTACGCGACCGTCTTGTCTCCATGGAAACAGTATTGCTTTACCTGGAATGTCCCACCCTATGACATTAAACTTATCTATGTATCTTTGAAGAGAAGTAGGTGAAATCAAAAGGCAAGGACATTTTGAACAATAAAAACACAAGTCATCTAATAATGGAAGATTGTTAATGTTAATGCCACACTGTGGAAGCAATCCAATCAAAGCAGTAACATCTCCATGGAGACAATAAACGTTACATAGTGCACCTAAAACAATAATATTAACTCTTTCCTCCTTGGACGCCTACTAGGAACAAACCATACTACAGCTTGGGTTGACACATTTATCATCTTGGTCACTTTCTCGTGCACAGAGCTCTGCATAAGTGTTTGTTTCTGTGGCGATTCTGTCACATCGCATCTTGGAAAAAAAGACTGAAATATTTCAAAGGACTCGCCTGAGCAACATCCAGATTTCCGGGCAGTTTTGGTTCATAATCGAGTATAAAGTCCCGGATAGTTTGTTTGGATATCGCAGGACTTCATGCAGACGCATCAGCGGCATTCTCACCTTCGTAAGTTTCACTCTCTGAAAGTCCGTCACTGTCGCTGTTTTCCACTTTATAATCAACTTCATCATCACTTTGAAATCAATAAAAGTCACTTTCTCTAAACGTATCCATAAAATACGTCCGCTCCTCATTACTTCTAAAACTGTGCTCCGTAATCTTTCCATTGCATGTGTTTCGTGTTGTGTTTTTTCCGGAAGCTACAATCGTTACTACTTCAATTAATTTCCGAAAAAATCTGTGTAAACGTATCCTGGAATCCTATTGGTCAGTCTAGTGTGGGTTGTAGTGGGCCTCACCTATCACAGCCTTTGTTTACATGTGAAAAACCGAGCCGTTTCTAATGGTCGTCAAATCACGTCTTTAGTGAAACAGCGGAGGAGTCAACAGACGTCATTAAGGAAACAAGGAGGGTCGTCAAATGTCGTCTTCATGGGGGAAAGAGTTAAAATAATCCACCTCTTGCAAAGCACATCGCAAAGATATTCACACATCAGCTCATGAAGCAGCCTGAATCCACCAAAGCTCTACAAGAAAAAAACCATGCCCACTCACATGCCACCTCCAGAGACGCGTTCCTGCTGACCGCCTCGCCCAGGTAGTTCCGCGCCACGCACACGTAGGAGCCCTCGTCCGGCTTGCTCCTGCGCCCGTGCACGATCCGGAGGAAGAAGAGGGATCCGCCCTGCAGCAGCATGCGGTGGGAGCGCTGGTCGTCCTTATCCGTCTCCACGCGCTCGCCGTCCTTGTACCACTCCACGGTGGGGGTGGGCCTGCCCTCCGCCTTACAGTTGAGGGTGGCCGGCTCTCCCTTGGACACGATCAGGTCCGACGGGTGCTCCATGATCCGAGGAGGGAAGTCTTCCTGACGCATCCGAGATCCTGGAGAAACAGAGGACATAGGCATTTTGTAAGTTTAAAGGTCTTATATTACACAAAAATGGACTCTTGTGAGCTTTGAGACATGTTATAATGTTGTTACCTTCTCAAAAACATTCAAACATGTTTGAGTAACATTTATTATTAATCTGTCTACAACTTCAAGCTCAAAATGCTCTGTTCCACCTTGTGATGTCATGTAGTTTCAAGTTCAACAAGCTCTTTTCACATTTAGTTCAGTAGAGATTGGCAATTCCAGAGCTGAAATTATCCAAAATGATTCTAGTGAAGGTGTATGGAGTTTAAAAACACAGTGGAGCACTTCCTGTATTACTAGATGACATCACAAGGTGGAATAGAGTAATGTCTGTTCACAGATTTGGACATGACACAGACATTTTAGCTCTGTTTATTGGAACTAAAACTGCAACTTCGCATTCTTTTATTTAGTGCCACTTGTAAACAACAGTGAAGCAGGACACAAGACAAGCCCAGTCTGTGAGCTGTCCCTGTCCCACAGAGGAGGAGGAGGAGGAGGAAGAAGAGAGGCGGAGGAGGAGGACAGCAGCAGCAGATCACTAATCAATGGGCAGGAAATGGAGAGAATGAGCCTAAACGAGTAGAGGAGGACAGACTGTCTCTGTGCTGCCAATAAGCCTCTGTCTGGACCATCCTGTTCCACGCTCCAGGCCCCGCTGCACACGCTCACTTTCATCTGGACTTTACAACTCTGGACAGCAACAGTTTACCACACATTTCCTCACTTGTGCTGAACTATTTTAACCACTAATATTAAGTCCAGTAGATTTTTAGGGGCTGTCGACTACCTGACTTTAAAGTTTCTATATTCTGCAAGATTTAAGTCATGTTAGAAAGTTGTTACCTCCTTACAAACACACCTGGACTTATGTTTCATTCACATTCAAATACTCTGTTCAACCTTGTGATGTCATGAAGTGGTAGTTTTCAAGTTAACAGTTCCTTTAAAGGCCTATTCATACTTCATGAGAACATAAGAATTTTGTTTTTGTATCTATGGCTGGACGAACAAAATGACGTCATTTCGTTGGTCCGGTTCCTGTTGGGCAGCTCTTGTTGTTTGTTCTCGACGCCTCAGCTGAGCAGAAGTTTGTTTGGCTCGACATCTTTGCTCTGATTGGTTATTTATGTGATTCCTTGCTGGTGTGGAGAAAAAAAAAAAAAAAGGAAGGTTTTGAATCACAGTTGGTGAAAAAATACAAACATTTATACGACACGAAGCTCAAATATTATAAAGACGCCAAATGGTAAGAAATTCATGGAGGGAGATCGCGGACATTTTAGGTCCGGACGAAAAGGGGGCGGGGCAGGGCGAGGGGGCGGGGCAGAGCGATGGAGCGGGGCACTTCGCCAGCAGAACATCTTTTGAAGTATGAAATGTCAGAGCCCAAACAAACTTTGTTCTTGTTCTTATCACTTCAAGAACAAGAACAAAGTTTTTTATGATCTTATGACGTATGAATAAGCCTTTACCTTTTATCATTGAGATCGGCAAGTCCAAAAAAACTAAACAAAAAACATCTACTGTTGTTGTACGTTAAAGATCCTACATTAATATACTAAAAAAGACTCTTGTGAGATTTAAACCATGTTAGAATGTTGTTACCTCCTCAAAAACAGATCTGGAGTTGTGTTTTGTTTCATTCACACTTTCTTTTTTTTTTTTTTTCTTTTTTTGTTTACCTTTAGTTCATTAGAGATTGGCAAATGATTCTAGTGAAGGTGTGTGAAGGTTAAAAACACAGTGGAGAACTTCCTTTATTACCACATGACATCACAAGGTGGAATGGAGTATTTCCAATTTGAGAGAAGAACTAAATATGAAGGGTTTGTGTGTTAAACATGTGAATGAAACAAAACTCAACCCCAGGTCTGATTGTGATGACAAAACTACATTAAAACATAGAAAACAGAGTAACTTGGGCGATTTAATATTTCGTCAGGATCCATACACTTTGCCACACCATACCAATTCAGTGAGCGGTTGATGGTTCAAATCCCGTCACATCTTCCGATCAATAAAATAAACATGGGCCGCAGCGTTTAATCACAATTTAAGAGTCGTCAGGAAGTGCCATCTGCCGCCGTCCAACCTGTAGCGGGGGCTTGTGGGTAATTGGACCCCGGGGTGTTGCCGTGCCGACAGAAGCCGCACACACCAGTGATGTATGTGCTGTAGACAAGTGGAGCTGGGGAGGAGGGCAGGGCACGGGAGGAGATCAGGCAGGGCAAGTGTGGCCTCCCCCCCGCCGCGGTGAATCTTCAGTTTATGTGAACGCTGCTCGGGGACATTTGAGACGGTCTTAAAACTCAAGTGTCCTCCATTAATACTCGCACTACTACAGATAGGAAGCAAGAATGTGAAGTAAGAAAAAGTGAAATTCAATATTTCCTTTTTGAAATTTGTTAAAAGGCCCATGTTACACTATTTTCAGATTTTAGTTAAAATGTAGTTTCCTCATCACAAACAGACCTGGACTTGTGTTTTGTTTCATTCACACATGTTGAACACACAAATCCTTCATATTTCATCCTTCTCTCAAATGAAAACACCCTGTTCCACCTCGTGATGTCATGAGGTAATACAGAAAGTCTTTTTTAAACCCCATCCACCTTCACTAGAATCATTTGGATAATAACTTGAAAACTACCACTACCTGATGTTACAAGGTAGAACAGATTTACACATTTAAAAAAAATATATAAGAGCAGATGTTACAAGTTATTTTTTATTTACCATCAATTCATATTTTATTGTACCTTAAAACCAATTATATTATTATAATTATAATATAATAATAATATATATATATATATATATATATATATATATATATATATATATATATATATATATATATATATATATATATATATATATATATTATATAATAATTATATAATTATTAAGTATATTTTAGTCCCAACTTAAGTTATTTCAGTCAATTTAAGTTTTTTGTTTATAATGTAAGAGGGCGGGTCCTCAGGGAAAAAGTCGGTCTGTAGAATAACTTTCGTGATGTGTATAAACTGCATATTTTGTTTGTGTTATATCATTGTAATATGTATGATTATATTAACTGACCAAAGAAAATAAACTGACTAACTAACAGAGCATTTTAAAGATGTAGAATAATAAAGAGTTACTCAAACATGTGTGAATGAAACAAAACACAATTTCAGGTCTGTTTTTGAAGATGAAACAACATTCTAACATGGTGTAGCCTCCGAGGACCTGACATATATGTCCAACACATTTTGGATTGTTCCTAATAAATCATTTTTGCAAATCATTATTCAGTTGTGACTTTATCATATATATATATATATATATATATATATATATATATATATATATATATATATATATATATATATATATATATAAATTTATTTTTTTTTATATTGGAAACTACATCATGTAAAAATAGAATTCTCTGTTTTTGGTTCATCAGGTCCAACCAACCCAAACAACAAAGAGAAATCAATAAAGCCGCAAGAGCTCGGGTCCTAGGAGGTTAAAGCTCACAAGAGTCTATTTTGTGTCATATAGGACCTTTAAAATACCATTTGTACAATTTTTCTAATGTTTTCAAGCAAAATGTGTCTTGCCCCAGTATAGATAGATTGTATAAGCAGCTCTATAGGTCAGAATAAGTCCACCGTGTGCTTTCTGCATGTGATTACAAAGCCACTAATGTTATCTGAGAGTCAGAAAACATAAAGCACACTAGTTGTTGTTTACCATCACTGTAAACTCTGCTCTGATTTGCAGAGTTATTAAAAAAAAAAAAAAAAAAAAAAAAAAAAAACGATCCACGCTGCCGTTCTTTGGAGCTCCCAGTTTTGTCTTATTTATCAGCAGCACAGTGTGAGGTTTGGGGTCAGGCCCTTCTTCAGGCATAAAACAGTGGGAGCTCCACAGAACTACAGTGTGGATCTGTTTTGGATTTATTTATTTTTTTTCTGTTTTGCAAAAAGTGTTGTTTGAGCCCAACTTTTACCATGTCTCTTCCAAAAGTGTTTAAAAACTCATGATGCATTGTGAATAATAAGGATGCTCTACATCACAGGTGTCAAACATAAGGCTCGGGGGCCAGATCTGGCCCTTCAAGACCTTTAATCTGGCCCTCAGCTGACTTTGTACTAAAATATTGTAATTATATTTTCTATTAAAATATTAATTTTCTGTGGTGTTTATCACAGCAGCGTCTCCAGTGTCTCTGTACGTGGCCCCTCCCACCAGAGCAGCACAAATGAAGACTTGTCTCTTTCCAAACGCTCTTAAAGGACGATCGTTTTGACTGTTGACCGTGACACCCTCATCAGAAAAATGTCCAACATGAGAAAAGTGGAGCCGAGTGCAGAATTTTACAACAAAAATTGACTTATTCCTGTTTACAGACAAGTTCATGTTAAAACATTGTGTTGAAATTGTATTTTTCTTAAAGTTTCAGGTTGTTCATAATATTATAATATTTTGTTAAAGAAAGAGTTTATCAATTAAAAAAGATTTCTGTAATAGATTTGTGTTTCTCTGCACAAATATTTGAACTTATTGTTATTTTGGGGGTTTATATGACATGAGTTTTCTGATCCGGACACTTTGGGATCAAAGTAGGTTGGATACGACCCCCGGAACAAAATGAGTTTGTCACCCCTGTTCTACATGCATAAAGTAGGAGAGGAAGAACTTCGGACCCACTGCAAACCATTTCAAATGAACTACTTCTGTACAGTGACATTTCTTTAACCCTTTAAAAAAAAAAAAAGTTTCATGTATCTTTTGTGGTGGAGTGTCAGACGGCTGCTTGTCTCCATGGAGATGTCACTGCTTTGCCTAGAACTCATTCAAATGGTCCTTATTGTGTTTTTATTGCCAAAAAACTCAATGGAAAACATGCATTCTTACTGTGAGTGAGCTCGCCTCGTTATAGATCTGACCTGTAACCTGGTCTGGTTGTCTGGTATGAGGTACAGATATATACTGTACCTCATACCGTCTATATCAGGTAGAAGTTCTCTCAACTATGACACCGGTATCAATTGCTACACTTAAATAGAATGCAATTTATTAATGGTACTTTTATGAACTTTCAGTCCTGTCTGCTCCTGTCTGCTCCTGTCTGCTCCTGTCAGATCACACTTTTGCTCTTGTCGACCCCACTTTAATAAATGAAGCAGCAATTAACACCCTGACAGTGACGAATGGAGCCTAAGATAACACGACCGTCTCCTCTGAGCGCGAGGAGATCCAGGTTTATTCATATCTCCACCGAACATCTGCCCATGCACCAGCCCCACCACACACACACACACACACACACACACACACACACACACGCTCACACTCGCACAACCCACCCACTCCTCTCCCACCACCGGACCCACGCGCCCCACACAACCGCCCCGACCGACACCATTCAATTCATATCAGCCTAATTTGGTCCAATCTAATTTTGTAGCGACGGAGGAGCTTCTAATCACGTCAAGTCCAAAGCTCCATCTGCCCGGTCCCTCTGCAGCAGATGTGGACAGAGGAGCCCGGCTCCACGGAATGAACAGGAAAGAAAAGAGGGGGAAAGAAATACATACATAATACATCTACTGTTGTTGTACGTTAAAGGTCTTATAGTACTCAAAAAAAAGACTCTTGTGAGATTTACGCCACGTTAG